AAAAACTATAAATAATTGTTATGGTTTAAACGAGTATAATAATATGGCAGTATGAAAATAGATCAAACAAGAACACACGATTTCTATGATAAATATATACCACCAACAGGAGATGAGAATTTATTAATATCAATAATGGAGGATTATAAATTATCATGTAGAATGTAAGGATTCAATATGTTACACACCACATATATATGATACTATGATCCCCAGCATACTAGAAATATAAATATAATGAGGAGTTTAATATAAAGTGAAGCCACAGTATAATGGATAAAGCTAATAATGAAATATTTGAATGAAATATGAGTAAAAAAACTGTCAAAATATGAATAGAAACTAATAGTAACTTGGACTCCATTAAGACATCTTCAAGCTTACTACCGACTCCCAAATTAAATTCCAACTTAAATTTGCAAATAGGCTTCAACTAAATTTCCAACTTGACTTTAAATAGAATTCTCAAATACTCTTTCAATTAGAACCAGGTCACACTCTAATTCTAACAAACTCCACATTGATACGAATTCTACTACAATGAGCAGAACTTCAAAAAAATTCTTCACCTGGAGACAATTCTACTTCAAGGAATAAACCTTAACTCTTCAACCAAAAATTCTCCACAAAAAATCTTCCAATAGAAAATTTTTTCGACCTTTTCCACAAAACCTAACTAGGGTAAACTAAAAAAAATAAAAAAATCAAGTAGTAATCATTAGGATTATCTTGGATACCAAAGTTGCTCGAATTATCCCCAGAGGCAACAAAATCAAAATAATTTAATATTCACCAAACAGGACAGAAACATACCTTGTAACAAAATCGATACAAAATGCTTCCGAAGAAAGTTTTCTGCTAGACTTAACACATTCGAAGTATAAACAACTAAATTAGCTTTACAATGCCTCTATGGAGGCCTAACATCCCTTTTGATCTATTTCTAGCAATTGAATACAATGACACGTTTGGTGATGGTGGTAAGGTGGCATTACCCATAACTTCTAAACTCAATTGTAATGTATTCTTTAATATGGACCCCAAACCAAACTCCATCGATATTGAACCAAACTCAAATCCACGTAAGTCCTTAACTTCTACTTATTAATATTCAAAGATTCTATGGAATCAAACAAGACATATAACTGGGGCATTTTCTATCTTCAACACAAAGCTGGTACTTTTATTATCTTTTAGGATTTCACCTGCACAAGTGCACCTGTACCGTTATGAATAAAAAACACTCAAGAAGATAAAATTTCTCTTCAAATTGAGAACCTGTCTCATAGCATCAAGCGTCATGACAATCACATCAAACATTTTAATTCAGACCCATCCAATACCGACTATCTTACAAGGTGAACTATTTCTCTTTCCCACAACACCTTTGAAATTTGTTTCATATGTTAAGAACAAATCATGAATAGACTCATATAAAAAGGATGAAGCTATATCAAGAGTCCAATTCCCTTCAGGTTTGGAGTCGTCGTAAAAAATAACCAAAAGTTCTCCATCATTGTACCTATCATCTGCAATATTGATTTCATCTAAGGTTTTCAATTTTTTTTTCCTTCTAATTTATAGCAGCTAAATTTTCCTTCTTCTGCAACTTATAAAAATCATTTCTAATGTGCCTACATCTCTTGCAATAATTACACTTTATTACTATAATTAGACTTTACTAGGCCCCTCACATAATTATCATCAACAACAAGGCCATCTTCATGAACCTCAAATCCAACAAGATGTTTTTTCGTCTCTTTTGAAAATAGAGCATCATAAACTTTTTTCAATGGTGAGAATATCACGACTGTATAAAATCATGTTTCTAAACAACATGGATAAAGCTGGTAGGAACACAATAATATTAACCCTAAATCTTCTTAAATCATATTTGACATCCAATGTCTCCAAATCAGTGACAATTTTTTTAAAAGAGGACATGATGAGAATAAATATGCTTCTTCAACTACAATTTGTGGTTAGACTTTTTGTCATGCATAATTGCTTTAATTTTAACAATATGGCAGCTACAGGTTTATCCTTCAAAATGTCTTGAATAATATTATTTGAAAAATGGAGATCTATCTGTGATCAAGCCTTTTGATTCTTACGTCTTCTCTCCTTCATAGACCAAGTTGAGGACATTTTGTCAAATCCCAACAATGCTTCATCCAAATCCATTTGAGCAAGCGTTGCTCACTTTTTTACCTGCCAAAGCGAAAATCTAGTGCTGTGATCTAAATAGTGAAATATCATATTGTATAGTTGTCATCACGAAAGATAAAATCTCGAACTGAGTTGATCGAACATTGCTCTGATACCGCTTGTTATAATTTAAACGAGTATAATAATTTGACAATATGAAAAATAGATTAAACATGAATACAAGATTTACATGGGAAAAATATACCACGTGCACAAGAGAAGAATTTACTGATATCAATAATGGAGGATTACAAATTATTATATAAAATATAAGAAATCACTCAATATGTGTTGTAGAAAACACACGCACGCATAATACTATGATCCCTAACATGCTAGAAATATAATATAATGAAGAGTTTAATAAAAGATGACGTCTTAATATAATGAATAAAATCGATAATGGAATATTTGGGATAAACGAGGAGTCAAAACTGTCAAAAAAGCCAACAAAAACTAATTGCAACTTGGACCCCTTCAAGACTTCTTCAAATCTACTACCAACTTCCAAATTAAATTCCAACTTAAATTCTCAAATAGATTTCAACTAGAATTTTCAACCAGACTTCAAATTAAATTTCCAAGTATCTTCCAAATAGAATTTGGGTCACACTCTAATTCTAACAATAACTATTGCTTATATTTATGTTTAGCTGAACATGGTTAGTTAATTTATCAATATGTACAAATTGCAACTTACTTAAACACAGAAATTAGAAGGAGATGAGTTGAAGGAATGTATGTGAATATAAACTTCCTTAATGCGATTTTACCTCCTACATTGGTTCTAACATGATCAAACGGACATTTATCTCCTAGAACACGACACTTTTGTTTCTAAATTAATATAACACAATATAAATTTTATCAAACAAATCAAAGTGTGGAAAGTATTCTTCACGAACCAAATAGATACGAACTAAAATTATTTGGACAAAATTTTTATTGTCAATAAATCGGAATTTAATTTTTGAGAAATAAAAATAATACATTATTTAGAAGAGATGCGAGAATTTAGAAATCATTTTTTCTTGAATTGATTTGGTATAGAAAAATTAGAATTAGTGGTCCCTAGTTATAAAATTACAAGCGCAATTCCCTGATTACTCAATTAAGATTATTCGTCTTGACAATGCTAGTAAATTTAGATCACAAACATTCGATAATTATTATATGTCAATTAAGATTGTTGTTGAACATTTTGTTGTACATGTCTATATACAAAATAGTTTAGCGGAGCCATTTATTAAAAATCTATAGCTTATTACTAGTCCATTACTTATGAAAACAAATTCCGAGCATTTGTTTAGGGCCATGCCATATTACATGCTCCATCATCGGTTTGTATTAGACCAATTGTCTATTATCAATATTCATCTTTGCATCTGTCATTTGGTCATGAACTTCATATTTCTCACCTACAGATTTTTGGTTGGGCTATCTATGTCCCTATTTCATCCCCACGTCATACTAAAATAGGTCCCCAATTAAAACTTGAGATCTATGTGAATTTCGATTCACCATCTATTATAACGCATCTTCAACCTTTAATAACCGATTTATTTATTGTATATTTTGCAGATTGTTATTTTGATGAAATCACTTTCCCGATTTTGAGAATGGAAAAACTATATCCTGAAAAACAAGATAAAAGTTATTGGAATGAAACGACTCTATCTCACTTGATCCCACAATCATTAATGTGAGTAAGAAGTTGAAAAAATCATTTATTTGCAAAATATTACAAATCAATTACTTGATGTATTTGTTGACACAAAAGTGACAAAGACATATATTCCAGTAGAAAATATTACAACAAAAAATGATGTCTTTGTAGGACAACTTGATGTAGCAAATGAATCTTAATACGTCATAAATGTGGTCGATCAGTTGATTTAAAAGATTTTGTACCTTAAAAAAGAAAAATACAAGAGAAAAACTATTAAAACAAATCCACTTCAGAGAAAGTAATATTAAAAAAGATTAATAAATCAAATATTGAAAATATGGTTCTTGAATAACCACAAGTGTTTGAAAATAATAGGATTTCAATAAATTATATGTTATCTCATAAATTATGAGAACAAAATAATTTTGTTATAGATAATATTTTCACCTTTAACATGGATGTTAATATTATGTAAAATAGGCATCCTGAACCACAATCAGTTAAAGACTGTCAACAACAGAAATGGTTGGCAAAATGAAAATAAGCCATATAGGTAGAATTGAATTCCATAGAGAAACTGAAAGTGTTTAGAGCTATAGTTCGAACTCCTAAAAATGTAATCCATATTAGATACAAATGGATTTTTGTATGGAAGAAAAATGAAAATAATGAAATTATAAGATACAAAATCTGACTCGTAGCTCAAAATTTCTCACAAGTACCAGGAATTAATTATGAGAAAACATATTCTCACGTAATGAATACCAGAACTTTTAGATTTTTAATTAATTTGAATGTATCACAAAAGCTCGATATGTACCTTATGAATGTAGTACATGCCCATTTCTGTGGTTCACTTGATAGCAGCGTATATATAAAAGTCCTCAAAGGACTTTAAAGTGCCAGGAACAAATGATACATGCCCGAGATTATGTTCTCAATGAAATTACAAAAATCATTATATGGATTGAATCAATCTGGACGCATGAGGTATAATCGTATTAGCGAATATTTGTT